ATTTCTCTGGCTTCTGCTTTTGGCCACTGGGTCTCATTCTGACTTTTGCTGCTAAATTAAAGAGCCAGCAGCTATCCGAGATCTAGGAACTTGTAGACTGTGATCAAGTCACCTCTTAACCCTTCTCTTGGACATGCTAAAGAGATGGCGCTTCTCACGTCTCTCGCAGGGAGGCAGGGTTTCTCTTAGCTCTTTTCTGAACTCTCTCTGATTTGTCAGTATCCTTTCAGAAGCGTGAATGTCTGGCCTCTGAGCCAGCCGAGCTGGTGATGGTCCCAGGGTCCGGGTTTCAACCTTGGATGCCCCGAGACCTCTTTGGCTCCTCAGCTCAGCAACTAGGCTCATAGGCGGAGCTGGTCCCCTTTGGAATTAATGGCTTTTAAAATCTCACTCCGAAGCTCTTCATATTAACAAGTCAGCTGAGTGGCCAGGTGTACTGGTCAGACGGGGCCTGTCCTGCTTGCTCCCTGTAGCTTCCAGTCTCTGGGTAGCTGCTGTTAGGACAGGGAGCGGATCGAGCCGATAGAGAGCGGGACTTTGCAGGATTGAAGGGTATTGGCAGAGCTGTATGGGGAGGCCAAGGCTGGAATAGCAAGAGGAGTTGCAGGTCAGGTGAAGGGGCATTGGCAGAGAGTGTGTGGGAGAGTGTGTGGGAGTCCATGGCTAAAACAGCAGGGGCTGAAGTGGGTCAGGAGGGAGGGGCATTGGCACAGCTGTGTGTGGGGAGCGCGGGACTGGAACAACAGGTGGGGTTGTGGGTCAGTGCTGAAGGCCATCAGCAGACCTGGGTATGGGGCACTTTGCATTTGACTTTTATAGCCACGCAAAACAGCTGAGTCAAGACACTTCCGGCAGCTTTCAAAAGCCATTGTAAAAAAAATGTTCTTGTGGCATCTGAATGGATTCGTCCAACTCGTGCTTTATGGCGCTCCTAGCTGTCGAGTGGCGTATCCGTAAGCTATTGCCACTGCAGTCCAGCTGTCAGCCCATTCCGGGGGAGGCTGGTGTCCGTCTGTCTGTTTGTCTGCCGAGAAGATGTGTTGCCATGTGGCTTTTCTTCCCCTTTAATATGGGTGGCTTAATATTTATTAATAATAATAATTATTATTATTAATTATTATGATTTGTGTTCTGTAGGCTTCCACACGAACCAAACCCTGAAAGATCTGCTAGGGGAATAAGGTGACCTTGTTTCTTCTGGAGATGGTGCTTTTATTTTTTCATGAGCTGCTCGAACTAATCATTAAAAAAGGGTGAAGGGGAGAAAAGAAGCAATGAGGTTGACAAGATTTACTAAGCCAGTTCCCCTCCCTCAGTTGCTACTGGGAAATATTTCAGGGTGAGGAAAAATACCCCTCCCCATGGGTGAAATTCACAAGACCCATGAGCGCAGAGAGATGATGTGACTTGTCCAAGGAGCCTGTAGCAGAGCTGAGGACTGAAGCCCAGTTCAGGGACTGAGCCATAAGACCATATTTCCTCACTGTTTTCCTGCTTTGGGAAATTTCTGCCTTCCCTTCTACTTTGCTGGCAGTACCTAGCCCCACTACTCGATCTTGCACCGTGCTTCCCTTCTGATCTGGTTCAGTAACTACTGGCTGAGTGGTTTCAGGCTGGGTTGGTGTTTGGATAGGAGGCCTCCAAGCCCTGCTGGATCAGCAGGATCTGTTTGAGCACAGAGCCCTAGTTTGGTATAAGAGGGGAATGGGATGCAAAAGCAAACTCTCCCTGCTTGTGGTCATTAAAGAGCCCATGCAGTGATAGGGTTAACGTAATCTTATGCCTTGCCCAGATTCCAATGGGGGTAATTGCATTCTGCTTCCTTAAATGCCCCTTGTAAGGGGTATTCTCCACCTCTACTCCTAATGATACTTAGCATATAGAGCACTGTGTACTTCAAAGCATTAGACCTCCATTAACTCCTGTGAAGGAGCATCACTGTTCTCAAGATGAGATGGGGAAAACTGAGGCAGAAACGTGGTGAGTCTTGCCCAAGTCCAGCATTAGAACAGAGGGCCTGTGGATTTCTATCCCTCCAGACCACACTGGCTCTCAAGAAACTGCACATGCCTAAACTCCTGTGTACTATAGGGAGGCAGTATTGCCTAGTGACTAGAGTGTGCCTTGGCATTCAGGCCTGAGTTCTATCCCTGTCTCTGCCACTTGCCTGCTGGGTCACTTTGCATAAATTACTCCCCCCTCCCCTATGCCTCAGTTTCCTCATTTGTACAATGGGGATCATGATACTTTGGGGATCAACTGCTTTGAGATCTATTGATGAAAATTGCTATATGAAAGCTGGGTATTATTATTATTAAGCAGATGCCGTGACCTGTTTAACAAACTGATGTGAGTGATTTGAAAAGTGCTTTGGGATCCTTCAGGTCGAGAGGCAGGGTATAAAGATACAGACACACAACACCTTTCATCCCAAACGCTTTACAAGGTATCCCTACGGGTCCTGCCTTTCACCCCATGGAAATGCAGCCACCTCTAGGATGGAGCGTGGCAGCTGTTTAACAGCACTCTGCAACATTACTCATCGGTTTAGGACAGGAAGTGAAGAAAGATCCCAAATCCACTTGGAACTGCAAGGAGAATGGCAGGAGTTAGACTATAGTGATTCAGTTTGGCCAGGACATTGGGGTCAACGCCCTCTGCTGCTGGGAAAAGTGCCCTGGGATCCTTAGTGGCAACAAGGGGTCAAGAGCTTGGTTTTACATCTCAGCCAAAACCCAACCCGAATGAAAGAGTTACCCAGAGCACCGCGACGTCTTCCAGGGGTGCTACTGCAGGAGTGCAGTGGTTTGGGCAGTATGCTGGACTATTATTGTTAGCAGGACTGCTGGGGCATTGGACTCAATATGGATTCAAGAGGGTACAGCGTCCCCTAGTGACTCATCATCATGCCCTATAACACCATGGCTTTTCCATCAGGGTCTCCCAGACACGTAGTGGTCTGGCCCACCCCGGGTAAGCGTGGGAGAGATGGAAACATCACAGCTTAAAGCCGCATCGCTGTAGGCTGCATAGATTGCTATTAGGACTCCCATTGCTTCTGCGCGTTCTCATTGGTAACCACTGGGTGTGGCATGGAACAGCTGTTCCCTGCAGCCGTGTCTGAGAACTGGACGCAATGCTGGGGTAACAGCTTTGAGTCAGGTGAGCACGTTGCCTCGCCCCAGCCCGTGCCGACTCATGCCCGTCCCTCACCCATGTCTAAGGAAATAATAATAATAAAAGAAATGTGAGAGAAATGCCAGGGCCTCCTCAATCCCCGGGAGACTGTTCAGTTCATGGCTCAGAGCCCATGAGACAGCCTGTTAGAGGAGCCAGGTCGTTTGGTTTGAGCCTTGTGTTGAATAAAAAGCCCTGGGTACAGTTTAACTTTCTTTGCTCAGTTTCTTTCTTCTTGTTGTTCGCCTGCTTTGAATGGGGAACTGCAGGCACTTTGATAAATGGACTGATAGGTTCCTGAGGTTTCAAGGTAGCTTCTATAAATACCTCTGTAACCTCCACTGGAACACGGCAGAAGTGCCATTTGGACGGCTTGATTGAAGATCTGCGGGTAGAATGAGGATGGATTGAGATTTCATATCACAGTGGGCCCTCTCTCTCTGACTCCTTATTTCAGCACATTATATGCCACGTGAGTAGAGCTGGTTGGAAAAATGCAGAACCATTTTCCACCAGCCTGTGCAGTTGTGATTACATCAAAACGCTTAGGATTAACATTTCATCTCGGAGGAAAACCAGGGAGGGGGGGAGGGTGTGTGTGTGTAAAATGTTCTGACAATGTTGAAATGTCCCGTTTTGACATGTTGAACTGAAATCATTAGATTTTTCATTTTGGAATGACTTTTCATTTTGATCGTTTTTTATTCTGTGTTCTAGTATGTATTATAGTAGAACACTGACCACAATCACAATGAAATGTTTCAATTGATCCAAAACGCATTTGTTTTTTAAAAACAATTTCTTTTGTGGAGACCTTTGAAATTTTTGGGGTTTGTTCTGATTGGGAGTGAAGCTAGATTTTGAAATCTCAAAATCCTTTCGATTATAAGAACTGGCATACTGGGTCAGACTTACTCCATCTAGACAAGTATCCTGTCTTCCAGTGCTTCAGTGGGAATGAACAGAACAGGACAATTTATTGAGTGATCCATCCCGCTGTTGTCCCGTCCCAGCTTCTAGCAGTCAGAGGCATAGGGACACCCAGGGTTGTGTCTCTATCTTGACCTATCCTCTGTGAATTTATCTAATTCTTCTTTGAGCCTGGTTAGACTTTTGGCCTCCACAACATCACCTGGCAAGGAGTTCCACAGGTTGACTGTGCGTTGTGTGAAGAAATACTTCCTTTTGTTTGTTTTCAACCTGCTGCCTGTTAATTTCATTGGGTGACCTCTGGTTCGTGTGTTACGGGAAGGGGTAAATAGCTCTTTTTCTCCACACCATTCCTGATTTTATAGGCCTCTCTCATATCCCCCTCGGTCGTCCCTTTCAAGCTGAGCAGTCCCTGTCTTTTTAATCTCTCCTCATATCGAAGCTGTTCCATCCCTTCTCTGCACCTTTTCCAATTCTAATATCTCTTTTCTGTGTGAAATGGAACGTCTGTCCTGTGCTGGCTCTGCACGGGAGCACAACTTTGGGCTGGGCTCACAGACCTGCCTTACTTGGAGGTCACTTTTCAGCACCCATAACTTCGCTGTCCTTTCAGATGTGACTGGCGGGTGCGGTCGGGTTTTTAGACTCGGTGGGCCAGGCCTTTGGCTGGTGTAGCTGGGTGCAGCTCCATCAAAGTCAGAGGAGCCGTGCTGACTTACACCAGCTGACGGGCGGGCTCATACATTCTGCCCACATAGAAAGGTGGGTACAGAGACGCCACCGACCCTTCTCCACATGGGCAGGTTGAAGGTGGAAAGAGACGCGGGGCTCGGAAACCTGCCCAGGTGCCAGAGGGATGGGAGATGGCTAATGTGTCTGTCCTGTCTCCGCAGGGGACCCCGCAGGGATCATCCGGCAGAATGAGGACGTTCCACGCAAGGTTCTGACACCATGAAGGGCTACCATGGGGAGCGCAGCCAATCACAGAGCTCCACAGGGCGCCCGTGTCCCTGCATCCCAGAGGACTGTGACCAGCCCCTGGACTACATCCGCCGCGGCCAGGAATCCAGGCAGTCGTACCTCTTCAGCCCCAGTGAGCCTTGTTCTTTGGATCACCGCTACTGCCCCTCTCGGAGCCCGGGGGTCCCCGCCGAGTGCCCAGCCGGGCCCATGAGCCTGACCGAGCCGCTCTCTGCCAGCAGCAGCAGCACCTTCCCCAGGATGCACCACACCCAGCAGCAGTATGACTCCTGCGACGAGTGCATGGCGGCCACCCACCCCTCCAGCAAGATCAACCGCCTGCCCCCCACCCTGCTGGACCAGTTTGAGAAGCAGCTGCCGCTGCACCACGACGGCTTCCACACGCTCCAGTACCAGCGGGCCGGCACCACGGAGCAGCGCAGCGAGAGCCCCAGCCGCATTCGCCACCTGGTCCACTCCGTCCAGAAGCTCTTCGCCAAGTCCCACTCCCTGGAGGCCCCGGCCAAGCGGGAGTACAACGGCACCAAGATGGAGGGCCGGGGGGATGGGTACCACCAGCACCACCAGCACCACCAGTCCCGGCACGGCAAGCGGAGCAAGAGCAAAGACCGCAAGCTGGACTCCCGGCACCGGCCCAAGATGATGGGTTGGTGGAGCTCTGACGACAACCTGGACAGCGACAGCAGCTACCTGGTGTCCGGCCGGCACGCCATGGACCAGGGCACCCAGTACTGCGTGGATGCTCCCGAAAGTGCCTTCAGAGACTTGACCTTGAAGAGTCTAAAGAGCGGGGGGAGGGCAAGTGCCTGGCCTGCGCCGGCATGTCCATGTCGCTGGACGGCCAGACACTGAAGAGGAGCGCCTGGCACACGATGACAGTCAGCCAAGCCCGGGAGGCATATCCCAGCTCGGGAGGCAGCCAGGAGAAAGCCTTGGTACTGCAGGAGGCAAAAGCCAAAGACAGAGGCTACCATTACCTTCAGGTGAGGTGTGCGCTGGGGGGAGGGCTGGGTTGGTTGGCGGGGCGGGGCGGGCGGGAGGGCGGTCAAGTCTGCAGGAGTCGATTGCTGGTTCCCATCCAGCCTGGTTGCAGTGTCTGGAAGTCACTCTGCACTAGCGCAGAGGGCGGTCATCATCAGCGCTGCGTCTCCCAGCCCTGCAGAGAGCTAGCCAGATGCAGCGCTGAGAGCAGGTGTCCCTTCTACACTAGGGCTTGCAGCAATGGGAACGCCTGGTAAAAACACCCCAGCGCAGACAAGTCTCTGGATGCTCCTTGACCTTTGTCAGGGGCCTTCCCTGCTCTGCCGAGCCAACCCATGGGCTCTTCTTTTTGGGCTGGAGTTCTGGGGATGAACTTCTTACGAATCCAGTTCCTTTGGCCTGGATGCCCCGCCGCACACGTCTCTCCCCTCCGCGCAAACGACCCCCCATGCACACAGGCAGCTTTCAGCAATGGTGAATTGCAACCTCCGCTATGAACCTGCAGCCGTGTGCTGGGCTGGGCTGCCGGCCGGGCAGGTTGCTGTGGCCCTAACCCAGGAGTTGTCTCTGAAGCGCCGTGCGCTGTTGCACAGAAGCACGATGCCCCCGGGCTGTGGTCAGTGGCTGCTGTGCCAGCCTGTGATGGGATGCCCAGGGGCAAGCTCCCTGCCCTGCATTGTGAAAGCAGGGGAGCTGTGTGGTGGGGCGTGTGGACAGCGCTGGAACTCACTGCGCTAGGCTGTGGTGAACTGTGGAAAGCTGGAGAATGTCCCTGTGAGGCTGACACCCAGGACTCAGGGCTCCCGGAGCTGCAGGTCCAGTGGGCTGCTGCCACCTATGGGCTAGAGTCCGTGGTAGCACGTAGAGCCCGGGAGTGAACGGGGCAGGAGGCCGGGATGGGATGCAGAGAAGCTTGGGGTTGTGGGTCCAAACGGGATGGTCCTGGCCTCCAGCTCCCTCCTGGGCTGAAACAAGGAAGCCCCAGCTGAGGGTCACCCGCTTCCCAGCGACATAACCGGTGAGACTGGAACCAGGTCCTGAGCTGAACTCCGAACAATGGCCTGAACTATCTGCCCCCCATCCCTATGCAGGGCTGGACCCAACCCCACTCCCACTGCCTTCCACACCCCCATAGCCCACTCTTGCCAACCCCCTGCCCCGCACACACCCAGTGCTCCACACTTTGGAAGACTTTGCTCTGGGTGCCAATCCCGCCGCTCAGTCTTGGTTTTGGTGTGGCCCCACCTACAGCCATGTGGGCAGCGGGCAGTCTCTTTCCTGCCTGCTCTCCAGAATCCGACCCCCCCTCCCACCCTGCTTTGACCCACTTGGCTGGGGCTTTGGTTTGCCAAGGGGTGGGGGTGGAGTGCTTCTGTCAGGGAAAGGACCACACCCAGCCAGTGCCAGCCTTCTCTGCTTCTCCTCCCCCAGCCTCAGGGCCTGCAGGGCTATCAGTGGTGGGGTGATGCCTCCCCCACATTTCCTCTGCATTGGGCCTGTGGATTGTTCCACACGTGACCATGTGGTGCAAAGGGCAAACAGTCTGGACCTGGCACTGACTTAGGGTCATCAGTCTTGGCTCCTCCCAGTTTCAGTGGGGGGATCTCCCTGTTCTAGACCGTAGGGTATTTAAGGGGCCTGAGATGACTGGGTCCCTCCAGGTATCATGGGGTGATGAGATTAGTGTGAGGGCACTGCAAGGTGATACCATGTGCAAATCCTGGCATTGTTTCATCCCAGGATGCCAGGGCACCATGCGAATCCTCACACCTGGTATGCTTTGGTAGGTGGTGCTGGACCCTGGGAAACTGAGGCACAGAGCGGAAAAGGGACTTTTCCAAGGTCACTCAGAGAGATCTGAGGAAGAGCTGTGTGTAGCTCAAAAGCTTCTCTCTCTCACCCACAGAAGCTGGTCCAAGGAAAGACATTACCTCACCCACCTTGTCTCTCTCATATCTGTGACCAACCCGGCTACAACAGTACGGCCTACAGAGAGCCAGCGGCAGGAATAGAACCCAGGAGTCCTGACTCCTGTTCTCCTGGTCTGAAGACCAGGCTTCACTGCTTCCCCTGCAAAGCACGCGTTTGTCCAGCGCCGTTCCCCGGTGAAATGGGTCTGACTTTGGGAAGGTCACTGCCAAGCAGGCATGTGCCACCACCGCTCCCGTGGCTTATCACACTTCCAGGGGTGTCTTGCCTGCCTCTCCTGCTAACCGCAAGCGCAGCTCGCTTCTGTCCCCCGCTCCCCTGCTGAATTATTATTATTTATTGATCTGGACTGGGCCTGTGGTGAGCTCCAGAGCACTTAGCAGATTCCCAGCCTCTTGCCAGTCTGGCGTCCATGTCCCCGGCTCCCTCCCGGGCTGTCCCTGCAGCTACAGTTCTCGGGGTAGCAGGTGGCTGGGGGAGGTGGGGGGTGGGCTTGTGCTTCAGGGCTTGAGCTGGGGTCAGAAAATGGGAGTTCAACTCCCTCCTCTGCCCTAGGCATCCAGTGTGACCGTGGTCATGTCGCTTAGCCTCTCTGTGCCTCAGTTCCCCTGGTGTGAAAGGGGGGTGATACTGCCTCCACTTTCCCACCCCTGGTCTATTCAGATTGTAGGGCAGGGACTATCTCTCTCTATGGGTCTGTACAGCACCTGGCACGCTGGGGCCCTGAGCTTGGTTGCAGCCTCTAAGTACAAAATTGAACACCCTACCCCGCCCCTTCCCTGAGGCCCCGCCCCATGCTCAGTACATTCCCCCTCCGTTGGTGGCTCGCTCTCCCCCACCCTCACTCACTTTCACAGGGCTGGGGTAGGCGGTTGGGGTGTGGGAGGGAGTAAGGGCTCTAACTGGGGGTTCAGGCTCTGGTGTGGGTCCAGAAATGAGGGGTTCAGGATGCGGGAGGGGGCTCCGGCTGGGGGTGCGGACTCTGGGGTGGGGCTGGGGATGAGGGATATGGGGTGCAGGAGGGTGCTCTGGGTTTGTGGGGGCTCAGAGCTGGGGCAGGGGGTTGGGGCTCAGGCTTGGGGTGTGGGCTTACCTCGAGCTACTCCTGGTCAGCGGCACAGTGGGGGGGGCTAAGGCAGGCTGCCTGCCTGCCTGTCCTGGCACTGCGCTGCATATGCCCTGGAAGCAGCCAGCAGGTCCGGGTCCTAGGCAGGGGTGTGGGGGGCAGGAGGCTCCATGCGCTGCTCTTGCCTGCAGGCATCGCCCCCCCAGCTCCCATTGGCCGGTTCCCAGCCAATGGGAGTGTGGAGCTGATGCTCGGGGTGGGACAGCGCACGGAGCCCCATGGCTCCCCCGCCTAGGACCCAGATCCGCAGGCCGCTTCCGGAGCGCAGTGCGGTGCCGGGACAGGTGGGGACTAGCCTGCCTTAGTGCTGCAGCACCGCTGACTGGACTTTTAACAGCCCAATTGGCGGTGCTGACCGGCGTCGCCAGGGTCCCTTTTCGACTGGGTGTTCCGGTCCAAAACCAGACACCTGGTCACCCTCCCTCTAAGCAGTACTGCCATACTGATAGCACATAGCAATCTCGCTGCCGTTGGAGTGTAGGGCAGGAAGCGAGGAATATGGCATCCCACTAACGCCAGCATTGGAGATTTTAGGAAGGTGAAAGGGGATTGCACGGGACGGCCCAGCACTAGGGGAAAAAGGGTGATGGGGCCGACCCTCAGTGACCACAAGTGGCCAGCGGCACAGTGCCCCCTAGTGCCGGGGGGCTCACAGAGACCAGGTGGGAGGCAGAGAGGGTGGGGACAGGGGATGATTGAATGAGCCGGCTGAGAAGGGCACAGAGGTTTTCTGCCCTTCTTCTTAGTGGTGGGATCAACGCTCATCTTCACCCACGCACCCTGACAGCTGGCCGGCGTTGGCTGCTTTTAATGAGCGCTCGCCTTTCCAAAGAAAGCTCCCCTCCTCCTAATATGTCTTCCCGAGAGCTTATCTCTGCCAAACCACCTCTCCCTCCGGCTCTGGCAGCTGGAGCGGGAGGTCCGGATCAGGTCGTGCTGCTTTCAAAGGATGCCTTTCCTATGGCTGGTTCAGAGAGTCACCCCCCCCGGCTTCCTTTAAATGTGAGTCTAGAACCAGGGCAGAGCAAGGGCAGATACAGCATGTGGATAGGCATGTGTCTGCCCACAGAAGGGCAGTCGGTCTGCATGTCTAGCTAGATATAGCTCTACGGGAGGGGGGCGGGGGCATAGATAGCTTGGTGATGAGCCAGGGCTAGCCCTTACCCCGCGTGTGTGACGGGTGGTGAGAGCTGGGCATGTAGCTCCATGGCTGTCTACCATCCCCTGGGACTGAGCTCCTCTCCTCTGGGTTTGGGTTGAGTGGGATGGGATCCAGGACCTGGCTTGGTTCCCAGCTTCCTGCTCCTCCTAGCCTGCCCCCTGTTTCCCTCTCCATGGTGGCAGAATCGGGTCCAGTGTGTTACAAATGTGCATAGGGTCCTGTCCCAGCTCCCTTACGGAAGCTCCGCTCTTCAGTGCTTCTGCCTCATGCTCCTCTGAGTGATCCCCCAGCCCGCCCCAGTTCCTGAGAGCTGCTCAGCGGCAAGGCACAGAGGGGCAGGGTGGAGCTGCTTGCTCTGCTCTGTGCTATGGGAGCCCCAAGACCAGGGTGATGGGCTGGCAACTCGGCGTTTGGGACCTTTCAGCGGCTACAAGGAGTTACTAGTGGCAGCTTGGTGACAGGGCCACGCCTCGTGCCATGTGTTTAAAAAGTTGAGATGGCTGGTCTGGTAAAGCCCTGGGAGGATTACAGGTTCAGTTCCTGCACATGGCCTTACGCTCCCGTGGACCTCCCCAGAGCAGGATCTGGGTGTGCACTTTTCAGCCCCTGCTAGGGGGAGGAGATGCTCAGCATTACGTCCCCTCCCCTAGTCGATTGTAGGAGGGGGGCATAGAGAAGGGGACTTGAGGACATCACCAGACGATGCCCTTGGGGATGGGAGTTAAATACTGAGGACAGAAGTTGAAGCCCTGGGTTTCCCATGACCTGCTGATGGCGTGAAGGCT